GAAAGAGTCATCTTTAAATAATTTTTCATCTTGTGCTGTTGTTTGTTTGGAATTGTGGTTATTTTTATCCTGTTAAAGGCAGTTTTCCAGTGGAAATTTTTTTTAACTTGATAGCTTTGCTGTTGTTCACTAACCATCTCAGTGTTTAAAAGGGGCTGCCTTGAATTAATTTTTCCTGACATTTTTTCCCAGTAGAGTTCTCCTAAGCCAAGGCAGTGACACTCAGTTTCCCTGGTCTGGCAGGGCTCCTTGTCTTCTATTATTAGCAGAAAAACATTGCATGTCATGACCTTCGCCATGCTTATGTAGTTCGATTTACTGTGCATATAGGAGTATATTGTCTTACAGATGTGAAGCAATTCTTCTCTAAGTTGTCTGCTTCTAGATGCCATCTTTCCCAGGTGCTTGAGCAGAGGGCACACTGTGTAATTAGCTTCAGAGGTGGCAGTACTTCTGCGCTGCCATAAGCTCCGTCCTGGGGATACCTTTCCTGTCACATTGACCCCATCAGTGCCTGCATCAAAGCAGAGCAGATGCTTGAGGGTATGTAGCAGCTGAGAAGGCTGCTGTTACTGCCAGACCAGTTTGCCAAATCTGCAGCCTTCTCCAGTAAAAAAAGGGGTTTGGTAACAGGCTGGAAGCTGGTTTGGCACACTGATCTAAGCTAAGTATGAGTACTTAAAACATAACGCCCCAAGCAGCATTCAGTTGTAAATTGTTACAGTGCAGCTCCAGTCAGTCTTATCTCACCTTGTACTGTTTTGTGCTGGTTCAGTTTCGTAACATCAGTGTGTGTGTTTGTGCTTTCTTTGCAGCCTCTCAGCTAGTACATTATCTGTGTCTTCAGGGAGCAGTTTGGGATCTCTGGCATCCAGCCGGGGATCTCTGAACACATCAAGCAGAGGGTCACTAAACTCACTCAGCTCCACAGATCTCTACTATAACCAAGGCAATCAAGTAACAGATTTGGACTATCAGTATAAACTTGACTTCATATTGCAAGAAAAAACTGGCTACATTCCTTCGGGGCCTATCACTACTATCCATGAAAATGAAGTGGTTAGCTCCCATGGGAGACTGGGTTACAGTGACTCTTCTTCATCTGCAGACCATCCCAAATTGACTGAACCTCCAAAATCTGTAACATCACTGTCTTCCAGATCCTCGTTGTCTTCCTTATCCCCCCCAGGCTCCCCTTTGGTTTTAGAAGCTGCATTTTCAGTGTCAGCTCAAAATTCCCCTCTGCATCACCTCACTACGGACTTTGAAGACTGTGAACTTTCAGGTGATTTTGCAGGCATTAGTCTCTGTGAGAACCAAATATTATTGGACTATGAGGCCAGAGCAGGATCTCAGATTCCTCCAGCTGATAAAGATCTTAATGAAGGCATTAGGCAGCCTCTATCTTCTCTACATGAAGGAAGTTCAGGTAATTTAAAAAAAAAATTCTTCAAATGTGTATGTTACATGAAAAATTTTAACTAAAAGCTGGCTCTCAAATGGGGAGGTACCTCATGTAACTGAAGATTATCTTGATCAGCATATGTATGCCATGATGAGTAGTCTGGAATTCTGAGGGATATTACATAACCTAGTTTTGGGTGCAGAGAGCTATGATCACCCTGCTTCCATCTATATTTTTCAAGAGCTATCTCAGAAGGCAAGCTCATGTATTGTGGTCTCTGTCATGAAAAAATAACAAAAAAATCTTGAAGCTGGGTCTGGAAGACACAAGAGGATGTGTGGTGTTTCTAGGTATCGTCAGGAACATATGGGGACAGGAAAACAAACCTCTACTGGTTGTTCATAACTTGCAGTCAGAGACCTTGTTTCTTACTGAAGATTAAGTTGCAAACAAACATTCTCAGTCAAAGAGATTTCAGAACTTAAAAGTTAGAATATGTGTATGCATATCTAGTTATTGGAACCTGCTGTCACTGAAAAATCTGCAGTTCATTTTTTGTGTGAGTCAAGAAAGACAAGTGACTACATACCATCTAAGTTACAGTGAGGCTCTCTTAATTTTTAATGTGGTTTTCATAGCTTTTCGCTTTTTAGCCATGATTTAGAACAGAGCTTCTAAGCAAGTCTAGGCCTCCCCCTACAGTCTGTGCATAATTTCCAAAAGGATTAATCATCTTATCCTAAAGCATACTTCCTTTGCAGGAAGATTGGGTGAATGACCCTGGGAGTTACCAAGGTGTTCTTAGTAACTAGTTAACTTTAACTTTGAGATGGGTGAATTAGGTGTAATGAATTCCACTCCCCGTCTGCAGTAAAAGCCATGCAACTTACTAAGTCATCTTATATTGTCAAAGCCTTTGGCAGAGTCAGAACTTCAAAGATCCCAGCTGTCAAGAACTGATGGCTTGTTCTCAGTCTTAGAGCAGTGACTTTGCTGTCTTTTGTTAGAGTTGACAGTATGTTGTGCTTTCTCTGCACATGTATTGATTTTTTTTTTTTCTGGTGTGATTCTGTGTCATTGTCTTCAAGTATGTTGCAAAGCATTTGTGTGTTTGTTACACAGCAGTTCTGTTTTCCCAAAGAATAACTGAGAGAGCCAGATTCCCACTAGTGCTGAGCACTGGCAGCCCTGTTTGAAACCAGATCAGCACCAGGCATACCAAGCAGCACATTTCTGGGCCTGAGCTGACAGTGAGGCAGCTAACTAAGGAGTTGGGGTATCTTAGAATAAATACAACCTGGCTCTAGAGCGTGCATTGTCCAGTTTTTTTGTCAAGCTTTAACCTTTGTGCCTAGAGTTTGCCAGTTTGTATATATATAAAAAGGAGTTGTTGTAACATCTGTAGGTTAACTAGGTTAGCTTAGTGCTGTACAGTATTAATTTCAGTATCGACCAGAGCAATGTGGCACGAGAAGATAAATGTATGGTAAACGTTGTACAAGCTGGGAGTTCCTCACTCTGTTCAACTGTGGAGAAAGAAAAAAAGAAATGGACTGATTTCCTAATGATCTGAACTTGTGAAATGCAAAGTGGAAAAACATGGAAAGGGATTTAGAGGGGGGTGGGTCATTTTATCCTTTGTCTTCTCAGTATTGTGGAACACAGTATTTACTTTGTTTTAGAGCCATCTTTATAAAAGGTGGGAAAATAATTTTATTTTTCCTGTCTGTATTTCAGCAGCATATCCTTTCCAAATTAACAACAACTTTCAGTCTGTGACTGCAATGTGGCAACCCATCTAGTCTGAATTTAAAATGGTTTGGAATTTGGGAACTCACAGGGCTGTGAAGGTTCAGATTTTTTATTTCTTTATTTTTTTAGATCATTATTTTCAGAGGCATCATGTGGTTGTCTAACATTTTTTATCTTCTTTGAGCATCTGTTAATCTGGATAGTGTCAGGGTGTCCTTTAAGTCCAAAAATAGTTAACGATTTAAAAATATAAATTCATATAGTGATTCTTCATACTGATACTTCCTCATGTAGGGTCATATGTATGAGACAAATTACCATTACATCCATATTATGACTGCCATAACAAGCACTCAGATTTTGAAAAGTGTGATATTAATTAATTATGCTTCAGTAGCTCTACTGTTCACAGTAAAATGGGCCTTGTGGTGAGTCTTCCATACATCAGCAGTGAGATGCAGACTGGGGTTGGTTCAGTGTTTCTACCCCAGTTTAATTCTTGGAACTGCTGTGGCACAGAATGGGAATGTTTTCAACAACCAGAGGCATAAAACCTGCATGGAAAAATTTCAGTCCACACATTTGTTTTACAAGGCTCCAAATCTGAATACTCCTGAATCTTAACTTGCAGGTTAGTGGAGACAGTATAGCTCGTATTTTCTTGTAATAATCTGCACTGGCTCTTTAGATGCAGTGTTCACCTGCTTCTCTGACTTTTCTGTACAGGTGAACCATATGGATATTTGCTCCTCTGCATGTCTCTGCTGTCAGAATCCAAGTTGGAATATCATGTAGTTCTTCCACAGTCAGTCTGTGTCATTGTCAAAGTCAGTTTGGGCTGTTGTGGTAATTCCTTGGGGTAATCAATAAATCATGTCATCACCTTCACCCCTTGCGTGTTGGAGGGGAAGGGAAACAGCACTTCATCATCAAGGAAAAAACATTCCTACTGCCATAAATAAAAGCACAAATGCAGCAATCAATCATCTACTCTGAGGCCTTAAATTTTAAACACCTTAACAAGATGTAAAGTCATGATTCAGGTGGGGACAATAAGGCATACCAATATCTTCATCCCCTGGCAGATAAAAGTACAGCATAGGCCTTCAACTTACTGTGCTGCAGAAGTGTGAATGCTGCTTCTTCACAGCATGACACTAGCATATGAATGCGAGTTGAAGATTAAAGCTAAGTAGTAGTTGCTAGTAAAGAGACCGTAGCGTAGAAAGGTTTTGATGATTGTAAGCCAGAGGGGATTTTTCATTTCTAGCCATTGTATCACTGGGGAGAGGGCATCTGTCTGACTTCTGAATATTTAATGAACAGTAGGCAATCACTTTACATGTAGCCAAAGTGTTACTGCAGTGCAGAATGTGAACGTGGCAAATACAGGTTTAAAGATCAGGATAATGAGGGTTAATAATGAAGATAATGAAGGATAATAACTAGCTCAACAGATACTGGTGACGATAGGAGCCTGTATCTCTGGGAAGGAATAATAGTTGTACATTTTCAAGTTCATCAGTTTGGTTATATCCCTAGCCAGAATACGTGGTAACAGCAGTACAGTCTCAGAATGTTTAATGATGTGGAACAAAACTACTCTGTGATACTCAGTTAAGGGTCACCGCTTTCAAGCTGACAACTTTCTAAGCTATGAGCTTCTCTCTTTCTGACTATTAATCTCTTGGACTAATTTTCATTCTTTCTTTTTGTAGGTCTTGACTTACCCCAAAGAGCAGCTAGTCACCTGCTTCAGGAGAAGACAGTTTGTGTATCTGCTGCTGTGTCTGATGAATCTGTAGCTGGAGATAGTGGTGTATATGAAGCTTCTGTGAAACAGTAGGTTTGAGAAATAATGCAGGTCTCTCCACCAAAAATGTAAAAATATCTGTCAGCAGTTACATAATAGCAGCATAAGCGGTTCATTGGTCTTGCCATTTTTATAATTATTTTGTCCTTTCATATTGAAAGGAAGACATGTTGAAGTTTGATTGCTTTTTTAAGTTAATACATTTGCATTAGAGTATTTAAGTATTGAGTAATTTATGGCAGGGGAGGAAATAAATACGCCCTATCAAATTAGTCATCAGTTAGAAAATGAAGAGTAAAGAAGAAGCTTTGAAATGCAGTCTTGAAATAATGCTGTCATGTTCTAATAAGGCACGGGATGTCTGAGTCATTCTCCACATTTCCGATCTTGACATTTCCTATCTTGTTTATTAATCCCAACAGTCAAGTTTTAAAAATCAGTGAAACCCGTTAATAACACATCCTCACTCAAACCTCCCAGAAAATTACTGGAAATTATTTTGCCACATGCATTCTCTGTAATTCCATTCATCACTAGAGTTGCTCTTCAGATGCAAGACTTGAGTTTCTTTGGTTCTCTTGAGTGCTTCTGAAAATAGACTCAGAGGAAAGATGCTTCTTGTTTGCACAGAAACCTCTGTTTTACAGAGTTTTTGTTTCCGAAATATTTGTCAAATTTATCATACCCAGTTTACCTGTTGTCTGATGTTTATTCGAAGTGTGAATTTCCAGTTTTGTGTTCAGAAAGGTAAAGAAATACTAAATATGTAAAGGAATATGTAATGAGTTTTTCTCTTGCCTGCTAACGTGGCTTGCTTCAGTAATCAACCTAAGGCCTTTCTCACTCATTTCTGGAGTTGTCAAACTGTTCAGGCAACAACTGTTGGTATTGTGTAGGCTCTGAAATCCTCATTTGGAGTTTATGCTGTAAATAAATTAGCCTGTTAAGGAGAACATATACATGTTCTGTGTACACATACCATAATTATTGCTGAAAGCCTAAATATAATTTTCCTAGTATTGAGTATTTGTCTGTTTGCCCTAGACCAAATGAAACTGAAGACATTGTATACAGTGAAGATGATGCAACAATTCTAGAGGCTGCTCAGGTACAAGTAGGACTCAGGTAAGCGACCAGCAAAGGGAAAAATTTTGTCCATACATAAATATGAATAATAAACATCCCTCATGTTGTCCTTTCTTTAACAGATACGACCACAGTAATTCAAGTTTTGTGATAATCATAGTACGGCTCAGAAATCTTCCAGCATTTTCTGTCCCCCTTGGGTCTAAAGTGTAAGTCAAACAATCACTGAGCAGTAATGTTGAAATATGGTAATAATAAATTGTACACATTCTCCAAAGGAATGTATTGGTTTACTGCTTAACAGCACTAAAATATGTGTAAAACTTTCAAACTGTAGTAGTACTTACCTTTTACATATTCCAGCAATGCTGCAAGAAAAATAAGTTGTCAGAAAATGTGCACATTCCACTGAAGTGGAAAAAAAACTGGTTTTAAAAAATGATGCTTCATTTCTTGTTTTTAAATGTTCTGTAGCTTTGAGAGTGCAGAACAGCTGTCCTGTCGTAACTAAAAACATTAATTTGATACTCTGCCATTTTTTCAGCTAAGAATGCTGTCTTTTTACATTTGTGTGACATTTTGATGCTGATAAAATAGGATGTACCTTTTAAGTGCGCTTTTAAAGGCGAGGAGTAGTTTGAAAAATTGCAGGTGGACATGCACAGCCACACTGAGATACACCTTCCCTAACAACTGGAGCTTGGAGGTCTATTAAGAACTAATTCTTGTGTTGAACTGGACAGTAAAGCTCTGAAAGTAATTACAATGGAAATCATATTTAGGAAAGGAACAGAAGCGCCTGAATAAGAAAACGTTACCACTGAGATTCTAATCTAGAACTGTCATCTGTACAAATAAGAACAGCCTCCCTTGGCTCCTTGGGGATGCTTGTACTTCAGTGAGCTTTTTTTACAGACTGGAAGGCTATCTTAAACTGCTGAGAAGCTTAGTAAGATTAGAGTAGAACATAATCAATCCTTGAAAAATTTGGTTTTCTTGCTGATTCCCGCTATATCCCATCACTTTGAATTGGATTGTCAGATCAAGAGGAAGCCACTGAATACGGGAAGCATGGACAGGGATACAGACCTAGGTGCTTGTGTGATTTTTCAGTTTGTTTTTAATAACAAATGATGGGCTACCACCATCCTTCTTTCTCTGACCTCCGTTGTTCTGCTGCTGACCTTCCAAGGCCACTAGCATTTAGCACAAGCATATAGAAAAACTATAAGAAAATAAATTGACACAGCTGAGAGGAAAAGTAGATAATGTAAAATATAAAAATGTCAACAAAATATTCCGTAAAATAAAGTTAGGTCATAATCAGCATCTTTTTTAGTAATTAAAGTATGAAGTTGTAATTAGTAGTCAGGTATCTTCTGTGCAGAAGTCCAGAGCTGCTGCTGCTGCTAGAGATATTTAATAAAACTAAAGCTATCCAAAACAAGGACAAAGAAAGGACAGAGTAAAGGAAGGACCTTGCAAATAGCATTTTTTTGTATCACTTGCCATCATGGGCCTCTATGTACATACAGTACAGATACATGCAATGATAAAAATTGAGACTGGAAAATGATCATAGAATGCCAGGTTGGAAGTATTGTCTAGAATGTCAAATAGGGTAAATTAGTACTTTATTGAACCTTTACACACAGAGGAATAGATTTGACATGAGGTCTTTACTGATGTGTATCTATTTCCACACTGTTTGTAAAAGTCGTTTGCTTTTAGACTAGGTAGAGCCTATCCGAATACTTAACTGTTTGTCAGGATCATCAGGTGAGAAGTCATAGGTTTGTCACAGCAAAATCTGAGGCATTGGTTGACTTTTAAACTTTTTTAATTAAAATGAAAGTAAGTGCTCTTGTAAACCAAAGCCAGTGAGCAGTTTACTTCTCTGTTTACCCCACATTCTGGCCTGATGCCAATAAATTGGCAAACAATTATTAAAGGATAGTTCCAGTGGACCGCCTTTTAAAAATACTTTTAATATACTTTATCTTCCATTCCTACCTCTTCTCTAAATGTTTCCTAATGGCTTAGTCTATTAAAATGGCTGTTTCCAGTAGACCACACAAATTACTCACCTACGTTTTTGAGAACAGCAGCAGCATTACTGGAATTTCATTACACTGCCACCCTGGTTTGTCAAAATGCTGGATACCTGCTGTGCAGGCTGTACATGTGAACCACATAACTGAGATCTTGTTCTTTATCCCAAGAAGCTTGGCGTAATTGGGGAATAAAGGCTATGCCCAAATTCAAAAAACAAAATCAAATTTCTCATAGAACTAATATATTTTGGTTTAATTAATACAAAACTATGTTTTTAATAACAATTAACGGTATGTAAAAAAAAATAAATCAGAAAATATAGAAGTAGTACAACAAATTTTGGGAGAAAAAGTGTTTTCCAGAACAAATTTCTTTGGTCCACTTTTTCTTCTTGCTTTACCTAGCTTCATTGCATTCTCTTCTACAGTACATGTCAATTTTATTTAAAGCAAATACCAGAAACAGGCTAATGCATAGACACAGAAAAGATGTGAAACAATTACCATGCTCATTCATGTGTTTGAGAAGCTATGCAATAGGTAAATAACAGGTACAAATTGCAGTAGGAATGTCTTCATTTTATCAAGCTACTACTAAAGTGAGACCTGTAAGTGAGCAAGTATTACCTTTATCCATATAATAGCCATGCATGTGTGTTCTAGAAAAAAAAAGGCAGCTGTGTAGTAATTTGAAGTTATTCCCAGTGCTCAAGTTTAGGTTTGCAAGAGGCATTCATTCTTCTAAGTTTCATTTAATGTATTGTGAATTGAGCTAAAGCAGCTTTGGGCCTAGCTATTTTCTTCCTCATTTTTCAATTTTCTGTTTTCTTCGGAGCTTTTGTTCTGTTTGTTTCTTTAAACAATTAAAAGACATCCCTGCTTTTCAGTGCTGCTGAAGCACTGAACATCATTCTGAGAGTTTAATTTTGCACCTACCCAAATTTTTCTAATTTTTAAAATTAACATTAATGTCATGTTTCCTCATATCTGTGACATAATCCTCCACAGTTCACAGTACTAAACCAGAGGATCAATTTGGATAGAGACAGAAATAGCTACCTCTCTACCTTTTACCAGATACAGAAATTCCTTTTTGGGAAATTTTTGTGCAAGGGGAAAGAGGAGTTTCTTGCCCCTCTTTTTCACCTCTTTTCCATTTCATGTCTGATTTGTTGCTGTTTCGTTTTTCTTGCTGTGCAGTACTTTTGTCACTGGGGTCAACTTCTATCATGCATCATGTGCAAGTGCTAGTTAAAATACAGGTAAATGTTTTGGTTTTGGCAGGTATATCAGAGTAGCAGTACTTCCATCCTCAACTGATATCAGCTGTCTATTCCGCACAAAAGTTCATCCTGCCATGGAAACTATTTTATTCAATGAGATATTCAGAATAGCCATTTCCCAAGTAACACTGCTACAGAAGACGCTGAGAGTAGATGTTTGTGCTGTCAGCAGAAGTCGTCGGGAAGAATGCTTGGTATGCAGTTTTATTTCTGTCTTTTTTTGGCATGAATTTGTTCATAGTGTCCCCTCTTATTTTCATGGTAAAGGCTGCTAAAATTCTACAGTACTTTGAGAAAAGCTGAAGCATAACTTGGCTGATGCTATAGTAGTTAAAATACTACCTTTCCCTGAAATTCCTGATGCAGAATCTAATCCTGGTTGGAAATTTTAGGAGGTGTTTTGATAATTCTAACACTGCATTACCTGAACCCTTTAATTACAGGTGAATATTCCAATTTTGCAGTTTTATGCATTAAAAAAAAACAAACAGCCATATACTTCATTGCAACATTACTCTAACACTAGATTTTAACGTAAAAGATGAATTAAGGGCTACAGTATGTCCAAAACCTAAAAACAACCCTCGTTATTGCAATGTCACAAAGTGCAAACTCAATTACATTTTTGCACACTGTTGTAGACTATATGATGTCCACCTTTTCAGACTTTATGATCTGTGGAAATACTTAAAAGACCTAACAACATAGGCCAACCTATTGGAAACTGGCCCTTTCTAGATTTTGTTGTTAATTGTGGTCATTACCTAATCAGGGATGCTTTGTTTACTTTCAAATTGCTTGTGCATGTTCTGGTACAACTCAGTTTAGTTTCTCACTGTGAGTCTGACTCAGTAGCACAGTGAGACTTTTAGTTACAACATGCTGAAGAGATGCTGGAATCTGCTGAGGTTCATCACCCCTGTCTACTGGGAACAGCCTCTCTCTTTCAAAACAAAGTTAATTTCATTCCTGGGGAATGTGTTTGCCTTTTCCAGTATGTAAGATGTTCCTGCTCAGGTAGGAGAAGGGCAGCAGAACAAAAATGCAACAGAATGCATGAAACAAAGGTGGAGGGAAAAACCCAAAACCAAAAATCCCACCAGAGATATATGGGTTAATCATAAGATCAAAAGAAAGTTGGGAGTACCACCCCCAGCGGAAAGCCCTGCGCAGCATGGCCAGAGTCTTGGAAAGAGCTATGTATGCAGTCCAGTAGCTGTGAAGATTATTTACTTTGCCAAAGAACAGAGGATTTTAATCTCCAAGGCACAGCCCAAACATGAGTACTTCATAAGTTTTCTCAGGGTGCCAACTTGGTGGATGTCAGTGCTTGTTCAAATGAAAGCATTTCTTTGTCTCTTTTACTGTCTTTTCATCTGCTTCTTCACTGGTTAGAGCAAATAATGTCATCCATTACTGTTTGCATATTGATGATTTTTGTGGTGGAAAAATTGACTGGCACTTGCTGCTTCCTAAGTTGATGCTGCAGGTTTCACTGACAGTTTTTCATTCTTGAATGCTACAGAAAGCAGACGTGTGTTACACTGATAGAGAGGGTTTTGTGTGCGTGTGCACATGGGGAGAAATACTGCCAACTGAAATAATAGATGGCAGAATGGACAATATGAAGGACCTTTCCACATACTTCTGTTTGATTTTAATTAAAAGTGAAGGGAAATGGAAAACTGTACAGTTAAGAAGGAGTTAAGACTAACGTCAAATTTATGCTCCCTATGTTGTATATGATAAATACTGTAAAATTTCTTTTCAGCTGTCTTGTAGGAAGAAAACCCACAAAAATAAACAGTTTTCTTCCCCTTATTTTGTACAGGCTGGGACTCAGATCAGTCTGGCAGATTTATCCTTTTTTGTTGAGACTTGTACTCTGTGGTACAACCTGTTGTCTTGCAAGCAATTTCCGGGCAAAAAAAACACGGAACAGAACGAAGTATCCATGTTTCTATTAGGCAAGCAGTCATCAGACTCATTGGACTTGGTGAGCAATGTGTTTGCTATTACTGTCCTAGCAAGAAAAAATCCATGGATTCTAATTGTGCTGTTGCACTGTGGTTCCTTCAATGTCTGAGTTGCCCCCCTGAAGGTCCAAGGCCCGGTTGTCTTGTAGGCACTTCTGTCTCTAGTGACACTATGTGAGTAGGGCCTATATAGGAATTCAGACTTGTTAGAAAGTGTGGGTAGGGCTGATGCTTATTAGTGGGATACAAAATTGCACTCTGATTTGAAATACTTCAGCTGTGTTTTATTTTTTAAAGAATGTTATTTAAGAGCTTCCTTAAGTTTACCATTAATTTTCATAGGCACACATTAAAAATTACTAGTTTTAAGTATATTAATTTGCATACTTAAAGCCGTTGAACTGAAAATGCTGTTTATGCAAAACATATTCATTCTTCTGATTACATAAGCTTTTCTGCTTTAATACCTTATTGAGAACTATGCTTAAAAATGTAATTTTTAACAACAGCCTTTTTTTTACCTAAAGATACCATAGGTATGATAGGGACAGATGAGGCATTAAGGGATGCCAGAAGCATATTTTATAATGTTATTGTTTTACAAACAGCCTATTTTTGATTGAAATTTACTGTATATAAAAACAATCAATGTGCTACACACTGGCAATTCAAACCCCCTATACCTGTGATCTGAGTCATGTTTTTGCTGGCATCCAGGAGCAGCAGAGTAATGCAGCTCTTGCAAGAGCTGTCATTTATGTACATATGTACCACTCAATTCTGGTTTCATCTTCTCTTTCCTTGCAAATAGGATGCTGTGTCAGCTCTGCTGGAGAGGACATCTGCTGAGCTGGAAGCAGTAGAACAAGAGCTGGCTGAAGATGAAGACGAGGAAGAACAGGAGCAAAGGGGCTCTGAGGAAGACTGGTAAAGACCCTTTTCCTCCCTTGCTGATTGTTCCTGAATTATTCCGCTCATTCCTCCTACTCTTAGACAAATAAAAGGGTTGTACTTTCAGAGGAGATCACAGAATCATAGGGTGGTTTGGGTTGGAAGGGACAGCTAAAGATGATCTAGTCCAACCCTCCTGCATGGGCAGGGGCACCTCCACTAGATGAAGTTGATCAGTGCCCCATCCAACCTGCCCGTGAACATTTCCAGGGAAGGGACATCCACAACTTCCCTGGGCAGTCTGTCTCACCACCACTGGAACTGGGGTAAAGTCTCATTCTCTTGGGTGGTCAATTCTTTAATATTCTTTTATGTTTCTATTCTCTTGGCTGCTCTATTAACTCCTACTGCTGATGATCCTCCACTCTGTGAAGAATTTCCTTTGAAACTACTTTGGGAGTCTGAGCCACTGTAGGTGTAATAGGATGCCTCAGATATTAGTTGCATTAATTATAATAAGCAACTAATAGGATTTGAAAAGAGAGCTGATGTCTGACAAAGCCAGTGTCTGTCTGCTTCCATTGATGGTCTTGTTTTTGACCAAGTTGTGAGCTTCCCCAAGAAAGAGATTTCTTGCTAAATTGCTATCTTGAGTTCTGTTCCTGCACAATTTCTTAGCTGCAGTGTAGAAATAAATACTTGCCATATTGAGTGGGAAGGGGAGACTCACTCATTTGTTTCATTAATTTATTGCACCCGAAGTCCTTCAATGTTATCAACATATAGCTACTGAATGTAATGCAGTGTTATCATAATGATCTCTAAGGTGACCTGTAGTAGAACTTGTGTTTTATTGGAGCACATAATGAAACGTGCCTTCACATGCATTTAATGGAAGCATTTGGGTGATACTCTTGCTTTCCCTGTCAGGAAAATGTATGTTATACATGAGTGAAGGCCTAGACCTTCTGGTATCTTTCTCTGGTGGGATTTTTCAGTTGGAGAATAAGCCTGGGCTACTTCTGTTCATACAGGTTAGAAATGCTCATAGAAGCCACTGATGAAATTATGGATGAAGAGGAAGATAGCGTTAAGCTGGCAGTAGAAGGCAACTGTACTGATGACATGGGGTTACTCATTAATGCACAAGAAACAAATGAAGACAAGGACAGAGAGAACAGCAATGAAGCCCATGAAAGCCAGCAAGCTGCTGTAATACTAACACTGGTGAATATCTTAAAATGCACATTCCTACGGTATCTGTGTCTGAAAACCTGTTTCTGAGCAGTTAATGTACAAGTCTGCTGCATCTGAGCACTTATCATTTGATGTGGCCTTTGCACTTGTCAGTTTGTACGCACTTTAAATGAAATCAGTGTGGTCACTTCTGAACTATGAAGGTGGTATTAACAGGCATGCTTGGCAGAACTTCTAAGTTAAAGACAATTACCTAAAAATGTCTATCTTCACTCTTTTTTGTTGCAGAGGGAGAGTATTCAAAATACAAGTACAGCTCAGTAGTTTCAACTTGTGCATATTTAAAATATTGCTGCACATCTATGTAATTGTTTCCTTTTTTTCTTATTCATCTAATAAGCAGGGGGAACAGGTGTCAAGATCTTTTCACCAGTTGGGGGATTTCCTTGTTTCTTCCCTTTATTTTAGGGTGTGAAATGCTAAAACTGGCTTAGTAGAGAAGAGGAGGAAAGATTAATGAACATTAAATTCCAAAACGTCTATTAAACTGAACTGTTAAAACTATCCACACACTGCACCTAACAAATTCTAATTCCATGTGTTTGTTAACTGTTCACTTCAAGTTATATTCCACCTTTCTGAAAGTACTTTTAGTAAATTTTTAGTAAACATATCACTGATGTGGTAGCACACACTCTAGAAATAAAATGTTTAGAAGGCCTTTCCGCATCTTAATGAAAACACTGTTGCATGTGTTAAATGTACAGTTTCTGTGAAAGAGCAAAGGTTAAAAAGCAAAAAATGACACCTTATCCCTTCAAGTTTGTAACAATACAAAAATTCAGCACCTGAGTGGACTTGCTGGAAATTGTAATTAACTTCCAATTAATGTGGCAAGATGCCAAATGAGCTAAGGCCATGGTATTAAAAAGGACTGAGTGTGTCCTGGGTAGCAAGCAAATAGGGATCAAAGCCCCAGCTCAGCCAGGGGGAGACCTGAAGGACAACATCTGAAGGTCTGACACACACACAAGTGTTTTGCTAAGCCTAGGCTGGATGGATCTGGACAGTGAGTGAAAGACGTAGCAGACCTCGCTGTGAAGCCTGCAGCAGCATAGATCTTCATGTCCCAGATCCTCTCAGGGTTGTAGTTGTCCAATTTAGGTCCTTATATTTATCACCTGCACATGGAAAAACACGGACCTCATTAAATAACCCAAGTTGAAGACAATGATGCCCCAGTGCACATCAGTAACATCAGATGTGCCAGCTGCTGCAGGGCTTATTCTAGCTGGTCTGTCAAGATAATTGCTGCTTGCAAGCGTGGGCTGCACCACCTGTGGGGATCTTGGCACCTGAGGCTCCCTGTGGCATGTGTGGGACAACTGCAGGAGGCAGCAGACCCTTCTGAAGGATGCAGCTGGCAGGGTCTTTTCCCTGGGTTTACAAGGTGGGTACAGCTCTGCAGGTTGCCATAAAGCAGCCCTGCTGCTGTTGTTGGGGGCACATACAACAAAAGTATGTCCAGAGAAACCTGGGCAATGTAACTTTTCCAGCTGTCCCTTTCAGTGTGCATAGGTGTCATCTCTAGCATGGCAGAACCTTGCTTCTATTCTGCAAATGCTGAACAAAGCAAATACAAATGCACAATAATAATGATGACATGTGCAAATGGCAAAGAAAACATTTGTGCCATGGGTGCATCAGACCATCTACAGGGCAGCAAAGGCATTTCTGTAAAAGCTTCAGTTTTACTGGCTACAAAGACTGCTTGCAAAGATTCCCCAAACAGTTACGTGTTTTCAGAATTTTGTTTCTTTACTTAGCATGGCTTCTCTGTATGTGCAAGATGCTTTTTGCTGCTTGGCTTTTTCCATCCACTGCAAGGTAACAAAAATGCTTGTAAAATACAAAGGCACAAAAACTACGTAGCGGCATGTGTCTGGATATAGTAGTTCTTGTGAACTAAATTCCTTTCCCTAGGTTGATAAAGAGACTAACACCGAGGAATCGCTTAATGAGAATGCAACAGTCCGACCCAAGGACAGAGCCAGCTGGAGCTCAAGACAGCGTCCCTTTGTCAGGAACAGCATGATAGTGCGCTCACAAACCTTCTCTCCAGGCGAGCGGAACCAATACATCTGCAGGGTAAGAGGAAAAACACTTGGAATGAAGAGCTATTAACTAGAGAGTCATTTAACTTCTTGGGAATGATGCATTAATGACAGTGAGTCATGTAACAATTTTCCCTGGAAGAGGCAGAGCCTGTGCATTCTCTAGGTTTGTTCTTTTCCTGACTGACCTGATGCATAGTAGAATTGACTTTCAGCAGAGTTGCATACTCTTGCAAAACACACTTACTAGGGAAAAACACATCCCACTGGAGACAAGTAACACAGATTCCTATGCTGGCTGGCTGCAAAGTATGCTTCAGTGCATGTCAGCAACTACAGCTCTCACACAGCAAAATAATTTGTTAAAACGAAGAATAGAGTTCACTGTAAACTGCCAATGCATTACCATATTTTAATAATGTAACCATTTAAGGGTAACAGTGTGGAAAGAGCTCAGTCATCAATTTTAAATTTCAGTTTATATCTCAACTGGTTTTAAACCTGGGCAGCCCAAATCCTCCTGTAATTGCGTCTTTGTAAGATATGTGAGCGCTGCCTAGGGGCTGATTTTTAAATGTGGCTTTAGTAACAAAATTATCCAGTCTCTCTAGGTCTAGGTAGCATGTAAAAAAAAAAAAAAAGAAAACTGTCAGACCTGTTGCTGCTAAACTAATTCAGAAAATAATGTATTTAAAGATTTAAGAAAGTATTACTAGCTTACAGATTTTAATTACAGATATCCTAGAGAAGGCAGTTTATTTTGATCTTCAGTTTTAGCAGGGTACTCACATAAGTATGACTTTTAAAAAATATAAATATTTATGCTTTAATTCTTCTCCATTTCAGGTAGAGGTGGTTGCCTTAACCATTTTGGAACATTAAAGCTGATCACTTCTCTGTGATTATAATTGGTTTAAAAAATAATAATCTATAGGCCATATCTACATTCTTAAATAACTTCCATATACTCTCCAGAATGAAACACAGCAGATCATTTTGTAACAATCTTCACATAATTTAGATAAATTATTGGCTGAATTCAGAACCTAGCCTTCATCCTAGTTTCTGTACACTGGAAATTATTTGTATTGGCTTAAAAAATGTAGCCTTAGCTTACTGCTTTTGGAGGTTTTGACAGGAAGTAACACTAATTACTCTGGTAATTTAGTTACTATAAACTCCTGAGCTTTTTGGATCTAGAAAAGTACTGGCATTTTGTAGCTTTGATATTGCTGTGTACCTGCTGCCAGAAGTCACAAACGGAAATATACCTTGAATAAACCATTCTCTTTTTCAGTGTGTACAGTATTGCCTGGGAGCAAAGTAGCCTAGGAAAAACTCATGCTTTCAAAGATGAATCTTTTGCAGCTTCAGAAATACTTGTAGTCCACTGTTGGGGCTCAAGTGTAGGCATCTGAGTCCACGGAGAGGGATGAACAACTCAGGTGTCCCCACTTGTAGCCTGCAGTCCTAGACCCAGCTTGCCCACAAGCATGTCCAACATCACTTGCTTTGTGGTGCTCAACTAGAAGAAGGCATCTGTTGGATACACTCTGGCTACCTGCTGGCTACTCTCTTCAGAAGAGATGGCCAAGCTTTAAGAAAGCAACTACTCTCATATGATGTTACAGCAAACACAGATTTTTGAGGCCTAAAGGACAGACCCAAGGTCTGTTGGTGCCTTGGACAGTATCCCTTGAAGAGTGCTTAAGGATCATCAGTGATGACAGCCACCTGGTCATATCCGAGGATGAGCACCTGGTAGTGCTCAGTCAGTTTTGTCTCTCAAGAGATGCATTCATATTGCAAGAGGTTGTATTTCTCACCCCCAAATCCCAGTCAGTCCTGCGTAAGCATGTTAAGGACTATGGCTTTGGGTATTAAAATGATAGCAAGGTGACTCTCTTTGTCTGTCCATTTCTGAAGAGCTGCAGTAAGTACCCTGCAGTTGGATGCTTCTGTTTTCTCTGAAGGTTACCAGTGATGTATGTGGAATTGATATTATAATTAGGAAGAAACTACTGCCAAGTTCTGGTGCATATTTTGAGAAGCACAAAGTGCTTCTGCAGGAAGCTGTAGGCACACCTCTACTTGTTACAAGTAATACAAAAATACTGTTTGTTGAACAGGTGCATGTCTACAGTAATTTACCTTCCCTTTAGTAAATTTGTTAAGAGCCTGCCCCAGATAAATGAAATCCATTGTTTATGACTGCAGATGATATAAAAGCCAGACAGTGATTTGGCAGTGCTTAATAGCCATAGTTGCCTTCCTTGCATTGCTAAAGAGTGTGCTTATTATTCATTCAGTGGTTGTGTGCTTTAGGAACAGAAATTTAGAAAAGACACTTATTCTAGTTAAAATTATTTTTATACTAAGAATTACCTACATGTATATCAACACTGAGGTTTTCTGACTGGTTGTATCAATACAGATGTATTCATGTAATAAAATACTGTTTGTTATGCACTTTCTGACAGTTGAATCGAAGTGACAGCGACAGCTCAACACTAGCCAAAAAGTCTCTCTTTGTGAGAAATGCTACGGAACGGCGAAGCCTGAGAGTTAAACGGGTATGTGCTGTGTTACCTGGACACAGTTTAAAGCAAAATACAGGGAGAGGTAGAGTAGCAAACCACTTAAACCATGTGTTTTAAGTATTTCAGCAAAAGCAATGGCAGTACCACATGTTGTCCTGTGGTTTCAGGTTGAAGTCTTAACATGGTGGTCTCAGTCCTGTATGGTCCCCCACCACCAAAGCATATGTTGTTGTAGATGTGGCTAAGGGCAGCAGCAGGACACTGGTGCCCAGCATCCTGGCGTGTACTGCTGAACTTTAGCTTGTTACTGTTAAAGAACATGAATATTACAAAGTGACCCAAAGTGGCTTACACAAATGTCAATGCCAGCAACATGTATCTTGAGCAAATTTCGCTGGAAATTTCAAGGCTTCAGATGTCCTTTTAAAGTGGGTTTACTCTTTTCCAGGAGTGTTTTAGGAAAATGGTTGAAGGATCAGAGAGTAAGACTCTTTCTCTTGCATTGAGTTTATTCTTACCTAAATTGAGGGAGGTATATTTTAATCTTGTTTGTAACTAAAAACCACTTCTGCAGAAGGGCTGTTACCAGGTAGCAGGATTGTATTTGGCATATGAAGGAAGTACTGAATAGTCTAGGATGGCTTCTCCTGCCTGACTTTACTCATGTGAAAAGTTATAGAATCATAGAATCATTTTGCTTGGAAAAGACCTTTAAAATCACCAAGTTGAGCTATTAACTAAGCACTGCCAAGGCCACCACTAAACCATGTTCCTCTAGGGATGGTGGCTCCACCAGTACTTTGGGCAGCCTGTTGCAGTGCCTGATAATCCTTTTGGGCTTTCCATGGCACAACTTGAGGCTATTTTCTCTCATCCTATGACTTGTTGCTTGGGAGAAGAGACCCACACTCTCACCTCACTAAGACCTTCTTTCACGTAGCAGTAGAGAGCAAAAGTCAGTGTAAAGGGGCATTAAATAAATACAATAAATTTAGTGAAATACACTAAAGAAAACTCATGTTTATGGAGTTTGTAACATTCTGTGTTTGCTTAGGCCTTGAAAAAGCACATGTTGATGAAACTAAATAACGTAGTTGAAATCTGTGGGGAAGTTTGTGTAGTTCTGGTCTCCTGGCCTTGTTACCCTGGGGATCAGAATGGGATTCTTGTTTTTATCCTGTAAATATATCATTGTATGCCTGATTTGAGAAGCTTTTGTGCTTGCTTGTAGCTAGTAACAGAAGAAAGATTCCAGAATAGGTGAATTTTTGGACTTAGATCTCACCAAAGTAGCTTTCTGCTAAAGAAAAAAAACGTTTAAGCTTTTCTGACTGTTTTATGTCAAACCCTACACTAGCCTCTCTAGATAGTAATTTTTCTTGTTCTGTCTCCCAAATGATTCAGCCTGTTTGCCAACCAATCATGCAAAGAGCCACGCAAGAGTGCCCCATACGCACTTCCCTTGACTTGGAGCTGGACCTCCAGGCATCACGCACAAGACAGAATCGTCTGAATGATGAGCTTCAAGCCTTGCGGGATCTTAAACAAAAGCTTGAGGAAGTGAAAGGTAGAGGAGAGACAGACCTTCCCCTGTGTGTGCTAGAGGATGAACGATTCCAGAAACTCCTGAAACAAGCTGAAAAACAGGTATGAGCAGCATATAGGTGTTGTTTGAATGAATATGCATATGCCCCTACCTTTTCCAGAAATTTGTTAAAATAATTCAATCTGTCATATTAAGGATTTTTACAGAAGCTCACAATTGACTATAATTATACCTCTGAATTAGGCAGTGCAAACAGTATTTCTTTATTAACCAATACTACAGCATTTAAACGTAGAATTTGAAATAGTGTTTTTCTAGTGCCCTCTAAATGAGTAGGAACTATTATTTAGAGTAATAGTTGTGGTTATTGTAGTAAAATAGCATAGACATCTACTTAAAACTTAATTTAAAATTCTTACATCCCAACAAACATGCATACACTTTTTGTCCTTCAGCATCACTCCATCCAGACTGCACAGAACTTTCAGCCAAAGATCTTTGTAATGGGTAGACAGAGCAAATGACCATTACTTATTGTGGCAGGAGCATGTGGGAAAGGCAGTGCCTCCAACTGAGTCTTAGTTCTTCATGCAGAATGATCTAGTTTTGGCAAAGGAAAGCTGAATCCCATTCTCTGTTATGATCTCTAAAACAATACAAGTAATTGTACATTGTCTCTAAATTGCCATAAGGTAAGATGGGATGCCTCCACATGGATATTAGACAAGGAACAGGATAGGACTGAAAGCCAACACTGACAAGTTGGAACATGATAATTCCACATGAAAAAGTTGGATGTTGTGGGTTTTTTGGTTTGTTCTGGGAAGGCTGTTTGTTTCTATAAATTGTGAGGGTAACCATACACTGGAGTGGGGGCCTAGAGAGATTGTTAGTGAAGGAGAAAACCCAACCAAATGAAAAAATGCCCCGGGCTCCTCCTCTGTTGGAGATATTTGGAACCTAACTGGGCAAAACCCTGATTACCCGCCTCTTGTTTCACCTTCTCTGAGCAGGACATTGGAGTAGGTGCGCTCTGGAGCCCCCTCCCATCTATGTGAATCAGCTTCTGATGAGGGGAGGTTGCTAGTGACATCTGGGTGGGATTTATACTCTTCAACTATTTATGGTTGATGAAGATTAGTGTTTTGTTGAGACCAAGTAATTCAGAGTACTAAAAATAGCAGTTTTAACCAGGTGCAGAAGACCTGCTAATATATAAGGAACAGTTGCTAATTTTGTTTGGTTTTTTTGTCAGGATTTTTCAAGTTAAATGTCAGTAAATAGCCTTGTGTAGAGGAGGGAAGGGATGATCCTAATATTTACATACACAGAGCTGAGGGCTGAACTAGACATTTGGAAGGAGATACTCCAGATACAAGAAACAAAAACATCAGCAAAAACATCACAGCTATCAGCAGATGTCAAAAAGCAAGTAAGACAGGAGTTACGAAGAAAAGAAGTTGAAACAAATAATTATTATACAATTACATGTTATGCTTGTTTTTTTAAATTGTTCAGTACTGGTTCCCCTTCTCAAAGGGGAAGTCTACAGAGGGTTGACAAAGATAGTCAAAGGAGGAAATGGCTTCCATGTTAGGATGTAGAATCATGAGGAGAGCCATTAATCATTGTCTTTTGTAATACAGGAAGCAGGAAATTAAAGAGGTGGCAGGTTAAATCCAAGCAAACACAGCAAATAATTTAGAAACTCTAAAAATATTTGCAGAACATTGAGTGGTACAAGTCTGCATAGGTTAAAAAAGCAGTTTAATAAATTCAAAGCTAAAAGTCAGAACAACATTCACAGCCATTCCACCTGTTTGAAGACTGCTTACGATTTTTCTAGAAGTATTTTTACCCTTAAAATCATTGGAGCCTTCCCTTGTGGTGCAAAACAACCCTGAGGATGCAGTGCTGTGCTGTCGGTGTTTCCTCTTGGGTTAGAAGAACACAGAAGCCTAGAGAACATTGTCATAGATTATTTTTTAGATCCTGCAGGCATTAAAATGGCACAGACTTAATGCAGTAGCTGGAAGTGCCAGAGAAATAGAGTCTCAAGTGAAAAATGAAACCACAGATGTGGGGGGATGTTGAAAATAAGTGGCTGCTTGCTAGCACACAGTTACTCTGCTTGAAGCCAAATACTGACTCCACACCTTTCCTCCCCTTCCTACCACACTTTCTTAAGGACTACAAGTATATAGAGCCCACTAATACCTGCAGATCAGAAAACAGCAGGTAATGCTGTGCACCTGAGGCATTTTCTCTCCTTCAGTTGCATTCTTGTGATAAATCATGCAGCATTTTAAAGTTTGAATCTGAAATCTGCATGGAAGTTTTCAGACACCTAATGTCCTCTGAAGTGCTTCCTCTTTGTTTATGTCCAAAAAAGATTCCTGTGAATATCTGTAAAGATCTTAATTTCTTTTCAGTACAACTTCTAAATAGAGGTAATCTGCAATTATGTCATTGATACCACAAATATGTCCTTGTTCCAGTGTTTTGGTGTTTAGCACCATTAACAGCTTTTTTCTAGATTCTCTTTATTTCTTATGTATAGAAACTACTGAAGATGACAGGAATTAGTGTTTCAGCTTTAATTATTACAGTTTTTCTTCTTCATTATCTTACACTTAAGTGCAGACACAGATTCCTATCTGGCAGTTGCTTTTGGCAGATAACGGTGGCCATTTGTCTAAGAAATCCCGGTGAATGCCCACCTAAAAGAGCTGCTGCTCAAGTTACTGGGCATTCAGAAACCCTTGATAAAATTTTTTTAAACACCAAAACACAACTCTTAATAGCAGCCTATCACTGAAATAGTGAATGGTGCAGCTGCTATTCTGTTCATGCAGCAGTCCTGCTAAAGACATGCAGCAGAGCCAGAAATACTGTAACTTCCTGGTGGGTATGTAGCTGCTCAGCAATGTTTATGTGAGGAAAGAGCCATGACCTCTTGTTAGCACTGCTGTTCTGTTCACTTGCCTTGGCTTTTACATCACTACAATGCAAATGACAGAAGTGCGTCTCACATGCAAAGCAGGTGTTGTGTCCATGAATAAAAGTACAAAAGGTCATAAATATTAACTTTGCTAACAAGGTCAACAAAACCTTAAAGTGTATTTTGAAAGCATGCCTTCTCATTTTTTTTTGGTCTGTCACTTTAGAGTAGGTATAGGCAACTTTCCTCAGAGCTTTCATTAGGAAATAAAAGTATATTACATGGGAAAAGAAACACTGTCTCCCAGTTCTAAAAATGCATTTGGTTACACAACATTTGTTCCTATAAATTTAGGTATTGTTTAACTACAGCCCTAAGAAATATCTCAAAAATTTGTAACAGCCAGTAGCCACTTATAATGACATGGGATTTGCTTTATTTTTATTTATTTATTTACTTATTATTAGAAAAGCTCTGTTACCTTATTTCATGCCTATGGCCTAGGCTTGTGATGTCAGTCTTTTGTCTTGCTGAACCTTTGTATATGGAGATTTTCACAGAGTCACCTTGGTTGGAAAAGTCCTTTAAGATCATCAGTTCCAACTGCAAACTTAATGCTGCCAAGTGTTTTGCTTTACAGAACTTGTCATGTCTTTCAAATTAGTAGCTGTTCATTATTATCAAAATACATGTATTTTTCCTGTTTACAGGCTGAACAGTCAAAAGAAGAACGGAAACAAGGTTTAAGTGCTGAGAAACTCATGAGGAAAGCTTCTAAGGATGTATGCCGATTACGGGAGCAGAGCCAGAAAGTGCCACTGCAGGTGCAGTCATTCAGGTATGGCTTGTTCTGCTTTTCTTTTTATTGTAATGAAGTAACATGAATTCTTTCTCAATAGGATCAGACACACCCTGTAAAAAATCCACAATTGTTTGAATTGCAAGAAACATCATAGTTTTCTAATATCATTCAAACTTGGAGTTTCAAAGGATGGGGCCTTGGCATCTTGCTCATGTGGCAAAAGTGGCAGCATGTCAGCTGAGCTGTGGTGGTGAGGAAGCAGGGTGAAAAGTATCAGACCATTATGTGTCATCTGCTGCAGATAAGCATGTGTGACCGTTGCCATGGCTCACCTCACTGTCAGTAGTCTCTAAGTAATGGGATCTTTTCTGGTGATGGCAGGTGCACGAAGGAAATTGCCCCTCAAGGAGAAATAGAACAGTATACATCACATCAGGAAGCTCATTAACCCCTGCTTGTGCCGTGCTCGAGACTAACTATTCAAGAGAGATCTTGAATCCCTCCTCCTTTTGGTTGCAGGAACAGCAGCCAATTACATTAAGCAATTCATCAAGCTTAGCATAAGCCAGAATGAACACTTTCTGTCTCAAACCTTAATTTTAACCCAATTGCTTTTTTTGTTTCCCCCCTCCTTTTTTCCAAGTCAGGATAAAATGTTTTATTTTACCTTTTCATCTCCTCAGTGAAATATTATAATTGAAAGTTCAGTTACTAGATCAATATTTTAGTCTCATCATTGGAGTTATTAAAGACATATTGATATATATTTTTCTTTTTCAAAATTAGAGCTGCTTTTTTCATAAATCTGCCTAAGAATTATGTCAGAATGGTGTGGCAACCACATTTGTTGTAAATAAATTCACTGTGTATTTTCCTCACTGTATATTTTCTAAACCTATATTTTAAAGAACTATGCTGTAACATGATCAACAACATTGGAGTCATGCCATAAATAGTAAAATAATAACTTGTGTTCTTTTTTAAATCCAGGGAGAAAATAGCATACTTCACAAGAGCAAAGATCGGTATACCAGCCCTTCCAGCTGATGATGTGTAATTACTCATTTTCATCAGTGTTCTTCTACTTGCTCATCTCTCTTCAGATGAATTTTGTAGTTCCAGTGACCTGCTTTTAAAGATCTTCTATTTTACATTCACTATTGAGATGTTTCTTTGTAAAATATAGTGAATTGAATTGTTGTATGCATAAAAGATGGCAAAAATCCCAACAACCAGAAAACCAAAGTAGATTAATTTTGGTATACTGATGCTGATTTTGTACAGTTTGTATGTATTGCATGTGTGTTTTTATTTTGTAAAGATGGAACAAAGGCAGTACTAAGCACGTATCCTGTTGAACTGCACTGTGTTGAGAAACACTACGTTCTACAAAAGATTGTTTATCTTTTCACTATTTTCATGTGAGCAGACTGTGAAGATGGCTGTTTTGCCATGCAATATTTTTGTACAAGAGTGTGACTTTTATAGTTTAAAGTTAACCACAAGCTTAAACTTCTTTCCAAAACATCAAGGCTGCCTCACAACAGCTGCTAACTACATTCATCATCCACATTGGAATTTCTGAAAACAAATTTCTTCTGGTTTTGTTTTTAATACTTGGCAGGAAGAGACAGTTCAGAGGTTAGTTTTGTGAATGTACAGTACTTTAATCTGCACTAAAAGGTTTCTTGTATCTGTGGGAGAGTGAGAAAGGCCAGGCAGACAAGTAACCCTAAAAATTGTGATGAGACTACCAAAAGGGGTAGCTGCTTTCTGAACTGGAAGCTGAATCAAATTTGTAATACACACATTGAAATTGGAGCAGTTATACCCACTGTACATTTAAAAATTAGTTTCTCTATGTTAATCTTTTGTCCTAGAGGCTGTCTTATGGCCAACTAGGAATACATAAAAGTATTTGTTAGGTTTACAAATAAGAAGATGTTTAATTAAAGGAAAAAAAATCTGTCACATACTAACTCAGAAGTCTTGTTGTTAAGATAAACCCTTTCTGAAAAAGAAAAGCTCCTGACTAGAAGTCTTCACATGTTTTGGTACAATAAAGAACATTTTCAGAAATACAATACTGAGCCTGTAGGCAGTTGTGGGTGCACAGGTTTAATAATTAGATGTGAACAGCATGTTTCAAATTTGTCTTACATGAAGCAGCCTGCTAGGAAGAAGCATCAACTTGGACACATTCTGTTAGAAGCCCAGAACAGAAGATGTCAGTGTTTAAGCTTGCCCTATCATGGTAAAGCATTTGGGGTCTTATGTTCTGTGGGTACTGTGTACATAGGTGGGCATTGCAGAATTATTTCATTTTCCATTTACTATGTTGCACTCAGATGTATTTAATTCACTGGCTAAGGTTTTCTTCCCCAAGCAACAAGCCATATATGCATGGACTTCCTCTTTCAAAAAGGCTATAATGACTTGGCGATGAAATGGAAGCAAGTATAACCACAATAGGGTAGAAGCTGTCTCTAAATTCCAAGTGCAAATTCTGTGATGAGAGGTCTGTGTAACACCCAAGGGTTTTTTATGCACAAATACATCAGTTCACTTAAATGTATAACTAAACATGCTATTTTGGGCAAGATGACTGACTGAACATCCTTTCTGAATGCCCCATTTGGTTTTTGTTTCTTCGGTTTGAAATAGCATTCATGTTTGAAAGGTCAATTTAAAAAAAACAAACAAACAACAAACAAAAGAAACAAATCTGGAATTATTTAATGTAGAGGTGAAAAGAAGGTTGACAGTTTCAGCTTCTCAATTCAATTATATAAGTTGTTTGTAGAATGATGTTTAGAGTTGTACTTTGATTTTTCTTTTATTTATTTACAGTCTTATTTATGTTCTGTTTAATATAGTTCAGTTCTGGAAATAAAAATATTTTGACATTAAGGATGCTATTGTGAAAGATATTTAGAGCTAAGTTCTTGCCAGATTAGCTGTTTTTCCTCACATGTTGGATAATTTAAAACAAAAAAAAAGTATTATCTCATTTGTAAGCATGACAAGTTCATGCTTACAAAGTTCAAGTCCCATGGTCCAAAGTAAGTATTGCTGGATTTAGCTTGCAAAACTCATTAGACTTGAGAAACAAACATATTCATGCTCCTTGTTTTCCAAATTGGTAAAGTTGAACGTATTTATAGGCTGTTTTTAACGCTTCTTGGTTGGGAGAGGTTTTTTTACTAATTCAGATTATTCACACTTGAAATGCGCAATAGAATAAGCTAAAATAACACATAAAAATATCCCCCCCATCAATTGAAAATTATAAATATTACTCTGCACAGCAGGGTATAATGAATGTAATTAGTTCTGCTTTCAGGTACCAATGTCACTGCAGTTGCACATATTAAAATCTAAATATTACTGGTACAAGAGTATTTAGCCAAATGAGCAAAGTTTAGCAGAAATTGTAATAGAACATAAATCAAGTAATTGTAAGATATTTTTTTTACTATTGTTATGTTTATACTGTATTAAATATCAAATGCTCAGGACTGAACTAAGTATTTAATCAGGTTATATTCTGAATGTGTTTCTGTTCTAATTTTGTCTGTAAGAGTATGCAAGTACATCACATAGATTAACTTGTCTCTGCACTTTCCATGTGTTTCAGTGATTGGAAAATACATTTTTTTTAGCAAAGTTCTTTTCCAGACCAGTGTTTTTGTTATATTCTTTTATTGCTGTTCTGTCTTTATATGCTCTTTGCTGCTACAGCTTTGTCAATGTAAAATCATTGTAATTTATAGAAAGTTCACATCAATCACTGACAAGTCTTAGCTTAAGTTATATACTTGAAGTTAGTTCTTTACATTAATTAAGTAAAAACTACAGTAGCAATTAACAGAGTCAACTGTGGCTTTCCTTGGAGAGAAAGGAGAGTGAGAGGAGGACTGGGCAGGGGTACATTCAGTCATTCTCTCTCCCTAACACACAGATGATGGAGAATCTTGTATTACATTATATTAGTATGAAAACATCTAGTTTTCTGTAAATGATACAGGTCTGGGGAACTTTATTCAAGGTTGTACTACTGTGTTAGTAATGAATGTTGAAATGGCACTATGAACTGTTTAACTACTTAAACTGCTACTATTTTTGGAAAAAAAGACATTGTTTAAAGCATCCCCAGCAATAGTTCTGCCATTTAAAATATGGTCCAGTCTCCATGCATGCCTGGAAATTAAAAAGATTTTATTATTAAAAACAAAAACAAAAACAACAAGATCTGCAATTGATCAGATTTTTGAGAAATACAGGGTGATTTAGACTGATCTCTATCTTATCAATTAATATAATTAAAATGTAAGGTAAGTAGTGATTAAAATAACTACTTAGTAAGAAAACCACCCCTCCCCTTGATCTTGTAAACTGTAACCTGTCTGTTCAGCAGACCTTTCTTACTGTATTTCAAGAGTAAGAAATTGAAAATCTGGTATCTACCCTTTTTAAAGTCTTCTGTGTCCAATTTCCAGATGTTGATGGGTGTCTTGCATGTCTGCCATTGCACACTGCTCTGGTAACTGATGATCAGAGGATAAGCAGATTGCAGAGAAGAGTAGAGATTCCCCTAGATTGATAAAAAAAATCCCCCAAACCAACCACTGACCAGTGCATCCCCCATTTCACATTTGGGCACAGTCTCTGTGATGTCTTAATCCCAAAATTCCTGGGTTATAGTATGGGTAAGCCAAGAAACAGGGACTAAAGCCAGAACTCCAAACATTCACAGGAGTATTCCTCCAAGTAGTAACAGCCGTTTCTTTAGCTTCTGCTCTGTATACTCCATCTTTAGGTAGTTCAAACCAAGACTAGAGATCACAAGCCTCAGAAATCCTAATCCATTTGACGTAGATAGTAAAATCCTGGAAGTCTCGAATGCTAGAGGCAAAACTAGGAAATAATCAAAATTTTTACACTGTGTTCCTCCTAAATCTTGGACTATAAAGGTTTCTCAGAGTCCCATGGTCCAAAGCTTCTGTACATTTAAGTCAAGATTTTTCCAGTCTGGTAAATAGTTACTGGTTAAAAGCCATCTTAGTACAGACAATGGAAATCCAACTAACTGTAGTCTCTGGGTCAAGTTTATATTTAGTAGTCACAGAAGCACCAAACTGCTTGCTTTTGCAGAAACTGTTCTGCTCAAATCTTTGTCATACTGAACATAAAAGTTAAAACAATGTTTTATGAACCATGGAATACTCCTCCCCCTCCTGCTTTGTGTTGTTTGATTCCATCTGCAGTGTTTGGGGGATAGGGAGATGGAGTGGTAAAGCAGCTGCTGAGGGTGTGGCCACAGCTGGGCTCACCTTTCATTACTGGTGGGTTTGTTTTTCAAGAAAAGCATGCATTTGACTTTCCAGCTATCTACTAATGCATTACAGCAGTTCTGCTAGTTTTGGCATCTCACTGTTCACCTTTAAGTTTCAGTACCACATTGACACACTTCTACTTACAGCAAATGAAGCTGTCTGTTTTGGGACCAGTTAAATATAATTTATGGTCAAAGGTGCTACATGTTCAGAACAACATGTTGCTGTAAGCAAATGGTGCTTAAACAGCCTTTGACGGGATGCATAATTCTGCGATACCTGTATCAGAAGAAGAAAGTGTAAGGTTTTTTTTTAAAGCAACATTTCTCGGCCTATTTTTGGTACATAAAGTATGCAAGTGCCAGAAACACCCAGAACAACTCAAATGGGCAGCTTAATGTACCAGACTGGGAAAACACAACTTTCTGGGTATGAAGCACCCACACTGTAACATCCCAGGCACAAGAAGACATCTGCAAAGCTTGCTAGAATTTCAGAAAGCAACAGTTTTCTTAGAATAACAACTTCCCTGTACACAGAAGAGTAACAACTTCCCTGTACACAGAAAACAATTTTATGCACTACATATATATAGACTACTTAGGATGTGAAAACTCAAGCTTGTGTGTCACTGCATTAGGCAAGTGGAAAATGTCAACAGGGAACCAAGCTTTGAGGCTCATTTCATTGGTTACATATGTAAAGGAAGCATATTTTGGTTAAAAGCCAAGCTGTAAGGAGCATGCATAGTCATTTTCAGGATTTTACACTGCAGCTGAGAAAGCAAAAGCACCTTTTCTTACAGTCTGTGAGAACTTCAGTGTTCTGGCTGTGAAACAAAGTTTTAAACCATCCTGCAGGTGAGAAAACGCCCAACTT